AAGAATAAGTTCTCTAAAGAATACGAGAAGTGAGAAAAATAAAAAAACTATAGAGCATCTAGTATCTACTCGCCGTCTTCTTGTGGATTGGGCTCGGGAACCAGGTACTCTTGATATGAAATGGTTAATAAGGAATGAGTTACACTACCCCAGTAAGAATATCATACTATATCACCGTCACAGAAGTAAGGGTTGGTAGAAAAACAAAAATAACTAATGGAGTGCAAATTTTAAACAAATTCATTTATCAATAATCAAACCATTTACCATCTATTTACCGCAGTGAGATTTATAAAAACAACTTATGGAAACAATAATATTATAAATATCATGAATTCATATATAGTCTGTAATATAGCACATATCATACTTTATATTCAAATTATCAAACAACAATTGTCCTTTTGTTTTTATTATTAGCCTTTTAGTATCCATGGGGATCCATAGGGGTCCCTGCTACATGTGAACCATTTCCTTTAAACAATCTTAATTTCAGGACCGTCCCCGTACCACGTCTGATATGAGCGCCAAAATAATAAACCTCAATACCCCGTCTGGTATGAGATAACGTTTACGGTAGGGTTCCCTATGAACCCGGTCCGTCCACCATCTCCTAGGATATCTAGTGAGACTGTCATCATATCCATTTATCAAATCACATCCCATTCCTATTTGTCCTTAATCTCCGTTACCAACTCAAACATAAATACATAAGCAAGTAACATGCATCCAACAAAGCAAGTATATCTTAGATTCCCAAAATCAAACAGTAGTGAAGTAAGCAGTGATTCCGCGTTTAAAACCATATAATAGATAAACTAGATACCATAATGCATTTAAACTGTAAAATAAATCAAGTAGGAATCGACAGAGAATAATGTCTGATTTCAGGCCCCATTAGCAACCTTAATTAATTTTGTATATCTATTAATTAGTAAAAATACAGTATTACCATTTATTCGAACTTTAATTCCATGATAAGAAATAGTGTGAGGGGTCCTTACTTGATTTGATGCCAAAAACTAGATTTTCACTGCGCCTACGAGTGGTCCCTAGGTTCCTTGAATTTTTCTCCGGGAACTGAAACACGTGTACGGTACCTACACATGTCCCAAATAACACAAAAATCAGACACGGGACCTACACAGCCAATTTCGAAATTCTAGCACGGCGGCGATCCGCCTTGGGTTGGCTGTTTTCGGCTGTTTCCGGCCGAATTCTGCCAAACTTGTATCAGTTCCTATGAAAAAACACACGTAAGGCCCTCGGTGGGCCCAAAAAACGTGAAAAACTGAAACTCACCGGGATAGGGCTCTTTAGCACGGCGGCTCCTCCAACTCACGTCGCAGTTAGGTGTTTTGCTCCGGTCGACCTGTAGAGGAGGAAACGGTGATCACAACGGTAGAAAAATCACATCGAATGGGAATCGAGAAGGTCCTCATCAGAGGCAAAAATTGAGACACCCCGCATCGGCACCGCTGGGTTTCGGCGGCATTTTTCTGCCAATTGGCCGGTACTTTCGCTTGATTTGACCATAGGTGGGTTTAGAATCAAATTCTGAGCAAAGAGTAGAATTTTTACCTCGTTTGGTGGCCGAAAATTGCTCCGATACGGCAGCAGGTGGCGGCGGTCGGCTCCCCAGTGACTGGGCTGTCTTCTCTGGCGAGAGGCTCTGGCGGTTAGGGTTAGAGTTTGGTGCAGATGAGGTTATTTATACCTATCCGCTTTTGATCTCAGTCGTTCATTGCTTTTAATCTGCATCGTCTAATCGCGATTAAATAGGGAATGAATCTGGGTCGTCCGTGCGCGATTCAATCTGGGCCGTCTATGCGCATGGGAACGGATCTCAGTCGTTTGATCGCTCGCACGCAGATCGCCCACGTGGCTCCCTCCCGTGTGGCCTCCCGCGTCAGTGTCTCTGCCACCTGGCGCGTTCTGATTGGCCGGAGCTGCTGACCGAGCAGCTGACGTGGCACAACTTTTTTAAATTGCATTTTGACCTCCGATTTCTGATTTTTCTTTCAAAAATACTCCTAGAACTCAAATTTTCACCCTTTTTTTCAAAAATTATTTTCAATTAACTCTCTAAATAATTTTTACCCATTATTATTATTAGTATTATTATTATTATTATTATTATTAT